TTCACTTGTTTGTAGCCAAGTTAAATAAGGCAATCCTTTAACACAAATACGTTTGAATGCTAATTAAGCTAAGGATTCTTAAAAGGGAGATGAGCGAATAAGTCATGAATTGACCGAGCGATTACACTTTTCTTTTCTGGGATGTAATTTGATTTTTGTTATACTTTTCTTTTTTGGTGGGTTTTCTCTTAAAAGTATTCAATTAACCTTATTGTTTATTCTTTTTCATCTTTTTTTTTTACGTCTAAATATTCTCTTTTATTTTTTCTGCACTATTTATTATCCTTACTCAACGATTAAGTCATGAATTCATTCAGCCCATTACGTCGAAAGTAAACAAGCCCCAAGTCTTACAAGTAAGAGTGAATCAAATAGACCAACTTCCACACTTTAGATCCTCCCCATGTGAAGGGTCTTGAGTTCAAGTCTCCGAAGAGCTAAATTTGAGATGATTGTTTCAAATGATCATCATCTAGCTCATCATAGAATATGAAAAAAAATCAACAAAATTTTGAAAAAGAATTTAGTTACCATGTGCTTCAGCTCAACATAGACCATAGCTTTAAAATAAATTCTCCCCTGATTACGCTTTTTTCTGGGATGTATTTTTATTTTTGCTACACTTTTCCTTTTTGGTGAGTTTTCTCTTCAAAAGTATTCAATTAACCTTATTGTTTATACTTTTTCATCTTTTTTTATACGTCTACATATTCTCTTTTATTTTTCTTGCACTATTCATTACCCTTACGGTAAATACTATTGCCTTTTTTAAATATTAAATATTGTTCCAAAATCTATTGTAGCCAACCATATGAAAAGAGGGTGTATAATTTTAATCATTTTTGTTTATATACTATCGTATTTGATAATCTTGGTCTTATCTTTTCCAAGATTATTGAATTGAGTAATCATTTTGGACACTTACTTGCCTAGCACTCCAGTCCGCTAGGTGCAAGGTTACCTTGCCTAAGTTTGGTCTCGGATTCGAAACTCGCTAGGCACTTATGGGAGAGGAGAGAGGTCTTGCACTCAATGATTCTTCCTACCTTCACGGAGTTGCTCAGCGGCTAACAAGGGAGAGGATGATAACAAAGGTAGCGGGTTGTGTGGTGGGAGGAGCAGCCTGGAAAATAGCTAGGTGATGCAAGTCCTGTTGGATTCGTCCTTTAGGAGCCAGTACTGACGAGGCTGTCTGTGATCAGATCCGGACTTTACTGTGTAGGGGCTTTGGAGGGTAGTTCATAGACTCCAAGATTATGAGAGCGTAAGCTTTGGAGTGTATGGGAGCTTTGGAGGGTAGTTATAAAAAAATTGAATTGAGTAATCATTTTGGACACTTCATGACAAAGGTGTAAGATTGGTAGTCGTATTCATCAAAACTTACCACATAACACCATTTGGAGTGGTGAGGTATTAGGAGTCCAAAATGCTAAATGTAGAATTTTTGGACTCCTAATTGTGTGTAGTGGTAGTTTAAAAGGGGTATTAAAAATGGAAGAGGGGATGGAAGATATTAAATATAGAGGGTTGGTTAAGAGGGGAGTGGGAAAAAGAAAAAGAAAGAAAAAGAAGAGAAAAAAGAACGTAGGTTCCTTTTCTAGTGCGGATGATGTCATGCTGATGTCATCCCTGCATCATAATATCCCAAAAAATTTAAACTTGTATAACTTTTTTATTTTTTATCCAAATTTTTCAAAAAAGTATATCAAAATTCATAATTTTTTATGATCTTTCATATGACACCAATATATAATATATAAAAATGATTTTTTTTGAAGTTTTAACTGTTGAAATTTTCTTGAGCCCCAGAAAAACATGAAACACAAATCTTTAATTCATGAAACCTTCACAAATAATTGAATATTCCATAATCGAACTTTACTTGAATTAAGTTCATATTTTGTTAACCAAAAAACATTAAAAAAAATTATTTAAATTTATTTATTTTTACATCAAAATATGTATTTTTTATTTCATAATTATTCAGCGAAAAATTAAAAGGAAAACATTATTTATAATAATTTAATTAATGTTTTTCTAAGTTGATAGGTTAAAATATATGTTGAGTGTATTTTATCGACAGTGCTGGAATGCATGAAAGTGAGAGTCAGACTGTTTTCATATGGACGGAGCCCATATTTAAAGTTGTAGAAATGGGGTCCAATCTCTCTTTGCCATATCTTTTGTTAATCGAAGACCAGAAAGCGAAAAAGAAAAGGCTCGGACTCCTCAATATTCATTACCCTTTCTAGCAATGAACAGCTGTTTCAAGGAACATAAAAGAAAAAGAAAAAGAAAGTGGTGATGACTAAATTTCTGTATTTTGACACCGAGGGTGGGCCTAAAGAAACAAATAAATTGAATTAAATCGAATAAAAAATAAAATTGAATACAAAATATCGAACTGAATTGTAGTTGCTCAATTCCGTTTCGTTAAAAAAAATATATATATATTGGTTATATTTTTTTTTATTCCGTTTCGTTATCGACCTTCAAAGTTGAATCGAATAAGTTGAATTAATAAAATATATTAAATTTTCTGTTAAAAAAAAATACTCCATATTAAATTTTATATATTGGTCATCAAGCATTAATCCTTGAATTGTGTAGTAAACTAGTACCGAAAATTAATTTTGGTGCTATATTTATAATCCGTATATTTATTACGAACTTCTTCTCGGTGAATATGTTAGGCTTTATTTGCAAACCCTACTCACAAGTGTTTTTGAACTTCTTAAAGTGATTTGAAAAAGAGTGTTTAATAGTAAAAGTTAGTAGTGTTTGAGAAAAAAGTGATTTTGAAAAATAAAAGTTGGTAGTATTTGGTAAGTAAGTGTTTTGTGTAATAGAAAAAGTAAAAAACATATTCTAACTTTTAGCTTTTAAGTATTAATTTAAGTATAAGTTGTCACTTGAAAACACTCTTTTTACCTTTTTTTAAGCCAAAAGCTAACAAGCGCTTTTTAAAACTGTTTGGATTTTTGAATATTTAATTTACACTTAGCCTGCCCAATTTACTCATACTAGGGGTGGACTCGGGTCGGGCCAACCGGCCCGGAACCGGACCGGCCCGCTACTGTGCGGGCCCGGACCGGCCCGGTCAACCGGTTGGTGCACCGGTTCGGGCCACCCGGCCCGGTGGGATGGCGGTCCGGGCTCGGGCCCTGATTTTGGTGAACCGGCCCGGCCGCTTCGGGCCCGGTCCGGGCCGGATTTTAATTTTTTTTTTTTTTGAAATTTTTTTAAGTTTTGGGTTGGATTAGGTATTTTGAGCCATTTGAGGTGGTTTGGGGTTGAGGGGGAGGGGTAGGGGGTTAAAAAGGAGAACCAAAAAAAATAAAAAATAAAGACCGGTTGGCCCGGCCCGGCCCGGTTTGGCCCGGAACCGGAACCGCCCACCGGCGGTTCGGGCCCGGGCCCTAGTTTTCTGGCCCGAGGCCCGGCCGGGCCCGGGCCCGAACCGGCCCGAGTCCACCCATAACTCATACCTCCAATTTCATCTCTGGACTTGTACCGTACTAAGGCGGTTCAAGGAGGCAACCATTTTGAGAGTCCGAGGCCACAATAAACTCTAACAGGTTACCATTTTTTTGAAATAGACAGTCACTAAGCGATGATAATTGGCAACTGTTATTAATTAACATCTCCCTGAAATGTAAGGTGACATATGCTGTTGAATATTTTTGGGAGGAGTATGACCCAACTTGATTATTCTTCTTTTGTTATTGTGTTTGTTCTGTTCTATGATGGTTCTTTCCTTGACACTGGCGCTCCGGTGTGTTTGTCTACATTGGTGTGGAGAGTTGCTTGGGTGTCCCGGCCAGCTTCACATGATCAGAGGTTTATGCGTGCAATCTTTTGGGCTGCGTAAAAAAGGGTAAAGACATAAAGATTAATTTTGTCTCCACGTGTTCTAGGTCCATCCGGAATGATGTAAGAAGAAGAATTTAGTATTCACTCATATTGCAACAACTCGTCCTCCTCTGGAACCACTTCCGTGACATGAAGAGTTTTGTGGAAAGGTTTTACCCGAGTGTTATTTTTCTTTAGTAGTACTGTTTTTATTTACTTCGAGTAAGTTTGATTTAAATTTTTGCATATTTCGTAAGCTTTTGATAGAAAATGTTTTGATTCTGATCGTTTTAGGCTTAATTTGTCCGTTGCGTCTCTAGCGAGTCAAGTTGCTTTGTATGAGGTGACCGACTCTATGTATATTCCTAGAACTCACGATCGGATCTATAATAACTGTGTCAGAGTTGTCTTGCATGCTTTCCTCGATATAACTACAAAAGTCGCTCTTTTATAATAAAAAATACTCCCTCAGTCCCAAATTGTATGATACATTTACTATTCACTTGGTCAACACAAATCACTCTTAATCTTTTATTTTATATATCAAAAGTTTATGAAATTTGAATTATTTTTTGCAGGTTTTGTAGCGGTTTTAATGTAGTTTCTAAATATGTAAATTTTATTTTCTAGAACTAATTTGAGTGTTGACAGGGATCAATTTGCTTTATCGTCAGTCAAACATCGTAAACCGTAATGTATCTTACAAATTGGAACGGAGCGAGTAGTTAATTTACACTTTGATACCTAGTATGGAGTATTACCCAAATATATATTCCCCACTACTTATCCCATTTTAGGGGAGACACTTTTCTTTTTTGTGTGTCCAAAAAATATGATCATTTTCTTAAATTGGATTTCACTAACTTTTTACTTTCCTACCTTATCTCTTTATCTATGATTTCACCATTTACTTTTTGTGAACTTATCTTACTTTTTTTTTACTTTTTGGATGTATGTTAGAATGGTAAAACAGTCACTTTAATTTTTATTTTCTTAAAACAAGCACCAAACTCAAGTAGTACTACATACCGATAGTATAACGTATGTCTAATGTTTTTTATTTATGTTTTTGTTTTGTTGCGTTAATGGTGATATGTCTTTGTTGCTTATTACTATAATAATTTTTTTTGAATCCTAGTCCATTCCTCACTTAAATACCGACTTCTAACTTCTTTCGGACTACAAATGGTCTAATCCCCACTGTATTCAGAGTTCAGTTCAAAATTTGGAGTATCTGACCTTACTTCCTCTTTGCTTTATTTTCCTCTGCACTCTCTGGTCTCCACCTATATTCCCCATTTCTCTCAAGCTCCCAAAACTAGGCCCTGTTTGGTCGAATCATTTATAAAGCAGGAGCTTAAAAATGGCTAATAATAGAAAGCGTAGCTCACTCAGGCTCACTGTGCTGGGCTCAATAGCTCTGCTCCTCTTAATTGTTGGGCCTGGATTGGGCTCCTCTCGATTCCCGACCACTCTAGTCGCCCCAGCCCAGTCGGGGGTGTGCGCCTCTATTGTTTCACCGCACGGTTACGAATGCCAGGAGTACGAGGTAATTAATTGAGGAACAAGAAGAATTAATAATATTCCCTTCGTTGATTCCCAGTAAATCTGATCTAATGTTTTTTTTTTTTTGATAAAATCTGATCTAATATTTGATTGTTCAGAATAATTGAATAATATTAATATATATACTGGTTTACAGGTGACGACTAAAGATGGGTACATTTTGAGCGTCCAACGAATTCCGGCAGGCGGCGAAGGAAAAAGTGGCGACGGCGGTCGCGGACCGCCTGTCTTGTTACAACACGGCGTTCTTGTGGTAAAATAAATAAAATCATTTTTAAGCTTTTATTATGATTATCATCATATTATTATGATTATACTTTCTCCGTTCTTTTTTAGTTGCAACTGTCAACATTTCACACTCTTAATCTCTATTAATAAAAAAATATTTAAAAATCAGATTTTGAGAATTTGTAATGAGATGAATTGAACAATTTTTTTTAAAAAATAATTCTCATAAAATTATAGCGTAAAATGTAGTCAAAGTAAACATGTGAATAGTGTACAATTCAACATGCATTGAAGATAGTGTTATTGTTCTGATTTCTGAACATAGTTAGCTGCTACCGGATATTTTGCGGAAAACCATGTTCTTCGACAACCGTGAATAAACAATAATTGTTGTCGCCGGTATCTTAGATTAGTGTAAGAATTATGACAGGGATTATGCTCTCACGCACGCCTCCCAATATTCCCATTAGTCTATTTTGGATCGATAAGAAATCCTTTTATTACTCGATAAACATCTCGAGAGATATAGTCATGGAAATAAATTATTGAAATTTATCTCTTTTTCTTCACATGGTCTTCTATATGAAAGAATGACTAAAATACGGCTGACTTCAAAACTATACCGTACATTTGGTTGTACGGTGCTCACCGCCTAACCAGATATTTAATCATACACAGTTACACGTAATGAGTATTACATTTAAAAGAAATGAGTGGTGGATCTAGGAATGAAGGATGGGGTTTAAAAGAAATGAGTGGTGGATCCAGGAATGAAGGGTGGGGTGGGCTAAGCACAAAAAAATTGTTATTGCAAACAAAAAGTTTAGTTTAGGGTTGTTATCGAATCAAGATTTTTCGAACTACTCGAGTTTGAACGTGATTTCAAATATAATTAACGACCAGAGCTTAAATAGCTTTTTTGAACTTGAACAAATGCTAGATTTTGAGTTCGAATAGTTATTCAAGTCAAGTTCGAGCACAGTGATATTCGGTTCGATCCGAACTCGAACCTGTCGATAACTCATAAATTATAGGAATAAATTTTATTTATCTTAAAATTTAAACATTTTTAGTGCAATATTATAAATCTATTAAAACACTAGCTAAAAAAGAGAATTAATACAACAATTTTATTCAAGTCGAGTTTGAGCATAAATGAATAAACACTATTTTATTATCTACTCAAAAATTCAATTAATAATCAAATAGAATCATAACACTAAAAAAACTAATGCACAAAATAATAGATTAAAAGAGTATTAGAGTATATGGGGATGGTTGGACAACTAGACTCGGCTAGAGGCAATTAGTCAGACTCGAATAGACTAAAGAGGCAGACTTACAATGAGCTACAGGCTGGATGTCGGACTCCAGAGAGACACCGATGGTCGACGGCCGATGTAGGGGAGAGGACGGCAGGTGGCGGCGCGGCTGGGTGCTTGTATTTGTGACTTCATGGTTCGTCGCTTTACTGAGTTGAGTCCTTCCGGGCCTCCGGCTTCTACTTTATGCTTCTTAGTCGCTTTATAAGAAAAGTATTCTTCTAGAGTTCTAAAAATCACAAATAATAGTTCTTACTATGCTTGTTACAAAAAATAGAACTAGACAATGAGCGGGAATGCGGGATGATGGAAAAAGCATAATAATATTAATAATGATGATGCTGATGATGACGACAACGACAACAACAATAATAATAGTATATGACCAAATAAGGATAGTGGATAAAAAGTGACTTAGTTATTTTATATACTCCCTCCGTCCCTGTTTTTTCTCCTATTACGGCTGGGCACAATAATTTAGGTAGTGAGTTTTGTGTGGTGGAGAGTTGTGCAGAGGAGAGAGAAATGTGTAAGAATGTGTAAGAATGGTTGTGAACCACAAATTCTTTACCAAAAAGGGAAAGAGGAGATAATTTTGGGACGGACGAAAAAGGAAAGTTTGAAGATAATTTAGGGACGGAGGGAGTAATAATTATAATTAGTTTATATTTTACAATTAGAATTAGAATGCTTATAAAAGTTACTTGTAGTGACTTGGGTAAAAAAAGTATCCTTACTTAAAGTTACTAGCATTTTAAAAAAATCATGATAATAATAGAAGTAATAATGATAATAATAATTATAGTAGTAGTATTAATATAGTAATAAGAGTAATATACTAATATAATATTCATCATAAAATTATGTTGTAAAATAATGTTGTAAACTTGTAATACAAAGTGCTATCATTGATGATGTGGGTGAGTGGGTGAGATGGGATTGCATATTTGCATCCGACTCCCAACACAAACTTAAGTGTATACGATTGTATAATTTTTTTATTTTAGTTTACGATTGTATAATAATACTTCGTATGTAAAGTTTTGCTCTTATCAATTTTCCCACACCGGTTTCAAGGATGGTTCACCCTCTGGAGTGCCTAATAAATATAGGGAAAGCTATTAAAGAAACCCCGTAGAATAGTAAAAAAAAGTAAGTGAGCCCTCGTACTATAAAAACACTCAATCAACCCCTCGAACTATACAAAAACACTAAATTCTTACATTTAGCCGGTTAAGGACAAGTTCCCTGCGTTACCACCTACGTGACTTTCCACCTGTTTTTTTTTAATGTTTTTTGGGAGAAAGACCAAAAATGACACCAAGATTTTTTATGAAGCTCAGATTAGACACTAAAGTTTTAAGTAGACCAAATAAACACAAAATTATAGTTTTTGGTTCCATTTTGACCACCCTTTAACTCCTCCTTTAACATCCCTTTCCCGTTAACTTCCCCATCATTCCAAAAGCCCCTGCCCCACCCCAGTCCAACACCCTGCCCCTCCCCAGCTCCAGCCCCTGTCCTGCCCTTGCCACCTCCCCATCTCCAGGTATGAGCAGCCAAACCCCGATCCGCACCTCCCTAGCCCAAGCTCCGACCAGCCATCCCTAACCTCCCAAACCAGCCCCAGCCACAGTCCCCTTGCAACCCCCTCTCAGCCTCGTAGCCCTTGTCCCCAGCCCAATGCCATCCCTCACCTATTGTAGTTGCGTACAACCGCACCGTCGCCCACCCATAGCTGCCGGCGAGATGCTCCAGATCGAACGGGGCAGCTCTTTCTTTATTGAAATCGAACATAACTCCATATATTGCACTTCAACCTCGTCCACCTGAATTGGGAGTCTCAAAGCTTTCACCCTATTTAATAAACTTCTTCTTCAAGCCTTGATTTGATGAACCAGAAACCCAGTCAATCTTAACTGGCCATCCAAGCAACGCAGTAAAAGCAAGATACATCAAAAGCAGTAAAAAATGGAAATCTTGGGAAGAAGATGAAAGAAATTGATGAGCTCACAAGGTGGTCGGTCATGGCAGGTCTCCTCAGCCAACTTCCCCTAGCTCTCGTGGATCCAAGCCAGCTTTAACTAGATGGGGAGTTAACGGGGAAGGGTTGTTTGAGGGGGAAGGCGTTAAAGGGTGGTCAAAATGGAACCAAAAACTATAATTTTGCGTTTATTTGGTCTACTTAAAACTTTAGGGCCTATTTACTGACAGAGATATTTCCCAGTTTTCCAGAAAACTGGAAAACAGAAAACAGGAAACTTGTTTACCAAAGAAAATTGCTGGAAAACTGGAGAAAGGAAAACAGAAAAACGCGTTTACCAAATCGTTTTCCATAACGAAAAAAATGGCACATGTATCTCTTTTCCTTAATGATTTGGAGAAGTGACTTTTACTAGTTTTCCAAATTTGGAAAACGCAGATGCTACAGTGCTGTTGCAATGAATTTGCATACTTACACCTAGTGGTGAGTCCGGTCCCGCTCCGATGTCGATTCCATTCGGGTACCTTCATTCTCGTACCTTACTCCTTACCCGTACCCTACCCACCATACCCCCACCCCGCATACCCCTTTTCCCTACAATGACCCTACCCCACCCCCTACCACATGCCCCAACCTTGGCCCCACCCCGATCCACCCTACCCTACCGCCACCCCTACCACCTCGACCCCACCCCGACCCACCCTACCCTACCCCACCCTCGTATATTACCCCTTACCCCTTACCACATGCCCCCTACCTCGACCCCACCCTACCGCCATCCTACCCCCACCCTCGTACCCCCCACCCTACCCTACCCTTACCTCGGCCCACCCTGATCCCGACCCCATCTTAGTCTGTTTAGTCTCATTAAGAAAAGACAATTGGAATTCTAATTTCATATCAGTGTTCATTCTTACATGGTCAATTTATTTATTTTCGTCTTTATCTTTATATAAAATAATAAATAATAAAGTATTTATCTATGTTTAAAAAAGAGGACCTGGAAGCAACCCAACCACAAGATCGGGTCATGGCCAGGAAACTAGTCTACAATTATATGACCATATATAATACGTAGTAATACATATATAATTATATATAAAATTAAAATAAAATGTAATTATTATCCATAATATTAACTACTAATAATACTTGCTATGCATTTATAACACTATGATATTCCAAAACACAATTTGATCCTATTTAAAGACATAATGACATTTGTTATTTGTATTGTACATTAATAATATAATTTGATATGATTTTCATTCTTAATACATATATAAATATATGACATATTTTTCCTTTTTAGGGTATTGAAGTTGCAACTGTATTGGTTTCAAAAAGTTTAAGAAAATTAAAAAGAATGTTACGTTTTTGGAAATTTCAAATAAACCCAAGTTATTTTGAGTTTACCGGGGATTTTGGATTTGAGTATGGACCGAGGTTTCCAGTTCAACCGGGTTTTGGGGATTTTAGCCACTTCTGAGTGTTTAATTGGGGGGGTTGGAGTGGGGAGGCTCAACCCGACCAGTCCGGGTCGATCTGGCCAGTCTGTGTTGGTTTTTTAAACATGGGTATTTATGAGTTTTTTACTCGAATATTCCCAATTCTGTCCGAAGTCTGGTTCTCAGTTATGTAGTACAATATCTGCAATTCAATTATAACTTTTGAAAGAATGACAAATATGCGACTGAAATAAAGGTAGTGGAAAAAAAT